ACGGAACACACGCTTGAGAGAACAGACAGTTATTTAAAATAGTCAACAAAGACACACTGAAGACGTCCAAGTAAAAATATACAGTATATTTATTGTATAAAGTCGTACAGACTTGGGCAATTTAATTTGACATATACTTCACGTCAGAGCCAATCACTTCTGCCTTTTTCACAATTCAGAGGAAAAATTGTTAAAACATCACGGTTGATGTACTCAGAGAGAAACAATGCGAACGATGACGACGACAACAACAGCCTTTGGATGTGTTTTCAGAGGCTACGAGAAGATAAAGACGAGTTGTATATAAAAAAAATCCCTGAAAGTGTGAGGTAAGAACTCTGTAGTCAAACTTGTTTCCTTTCACTCTCACACATCTGACTCACTCATTTGTTCCGAGATGCGACAGGTGATAGAGAACAGCCAATTACATTGTCTGCGTCCTTTAACTTTACTGTGTTGGCGAAAAAGTAGCTAAATGAAAAAAGTGGACGCCCGTCCTTCATCACTTTTGCGTTATAAACAGTCTGTTTGTAGTTAGTTTAATGATTATTAATCAAAGCCTGGGCAACAGCAGGAACTCCGACCTCAAGGTTCTAAGTTGCAGTAGAAAGTAGAACCATTCAGATAATACAGGTGTTAGCGGTGGAATGTTTCTAAAAAAAGAAATGAACATTTAAGTGCAGCTTGTTTTGGTAAAGCGTTCTAACTGAAAACACGAAAACTGACTTCACTGGTCAGATAGACTCAGTGTTTGGATAATTTACCAGGGTAAAACTAATGTTCTCACAAAACAACATGTCGCAGCACAGTGGTTGGGAAACACACTGACTCAACTGAGCTGTGAGACAGACAACTGTCTTAAGGACAAGGACTGGATGATGATTCGACGGTTGCAGTAGCTTATTCACCTCAGCTAAAATACCAACTCTGCATAATCCACAGAGAACATTCGGGTCGACAAACACTCGACGCGTCGACGTTCACGACAACAAGGCAATAATCGCCACCAACGCAGAGACATAACAGCTGTTGAACAGCAGATAACAGTCAGACAACAGTCCTGGATTAAACTCAAAGGTTAAGAAATGTCCCGTCATCATGGCTTCACACGAGCGTTTCATGAAGCCGTGTACGTTGGATAGATATTAAGGCATTAAGACTGGATTAAATGCAGCACGTTTTCTGCACACGGACAGTGTTTCCTGAAAAGATCAGAAATATAACAACGGACTTACAGTCTGTTGTTACAGTCTAGTTGGGCATCTGAGCAGCTCGGAAAACCTCAGCGAGAGCACAGGAATCCAGAGAAAAGCCGTCCAGTTAATCCTCATGTCGATTCCAGTGTGTCCAGCTGGAAGACGTTGTGATTGGTTGGCGTGGTGAAAAAGAGCTGCTCCTCATTGGTCGAGCGGTTGTCACAGGGACTGTGCAAACCCAGCGTCCTCTCAAAGTCCAGGAGCTGGCCCATAAAGTTGAAGTTGGGGGAAATGTTGGACTTTTTCCTCTTGACAAAGTCGTACGCATCATTGAGAGAAAGATTCAGTCTCTGCATCAGATAGGCCACGGTGACCGTGACCGAGCGGCTGATGCCGGCCAAACAGTGGACCAGAATTCCACACTGCTTTGAACGGGCCTCATCTGTAAGAAGACATAGTCTAGTGTCAGTGAACGAGAAGACGATCGTACTTGAACAAAACACAAGAATCAAATTATAATTTTTGTTGAGTGTGACGTCATCAGCTGCTGAGAGAAT